TGGCACGCCAATGAGCTGCATTTCTGCTTCCCTTCAGCCAAGCAGGACCTGGTGACTGGTGACAGAGTTCTTTCTGGCTAATGGAATACGGGGGAAGTGATAGTCACCACTTCTAGGTCTGGCTTCTAGACCTCTTGCAAGATCCGCCAAGCTTTTTTCTTGTTTTCTTGGTCTCCAAGCTGGAGAGAAAAAGTCTAGTGGAGACCTCTGAAGCTCCAGGCTCAGGTGTTAGCTGCCTGTTTTTGTTAATAAAGTTTTATTGAAACTCAGCCACACCCGTTTGTTTGTTTATGTATTGTCTGTGGCTGCTTTTACACAACTGAGGCAGAGCTGAGAAGAGGAGTTCCCCCTTATCCGTGGTTTTGCTTTCCGTGGTTTCATTTACCTGCATTTGACCGCAGTCTGAAGATGGTAAATGGAAAGTTCTGGAACTAAGCCATTCATAAATTTTAAATCGCACCTGGTTCTGAGGAGTGTGGTGAAGCCTTGTGCCCTCCCTCTCCGTCCTGCCTGGGCGGGCATTGCCCCGTTGCCCTGGCCCACCGGCCACCCACCTCTCCTCTTTCCTCCCTGCTAACAGAAGGTGCAGCCTCCGGGTGCTCTCCCGGACTCTGTCCTCACTGGTTCTCACCACGGATTTTGTTGGCTCTGTTGTTACTCATTCTCATAGTTCAGATGAGGAGACCGACCTCAAGAGAAGTGAATTTGCCAATGATTCCTTGAATAGCAAGTGGCAGTGGCTGTACCCCAAGCTCAGAGATTCCGAGGCCAGATCACGGGTTCTTTCCGCCCCCACAGGGATGCTGGTGGTTTCAGTGATGGTTCCAGGACTGAAGCAGAATGTTTTCCTTGGGGCTTGGGTTGCATTCAAGATGCACCAGCCTGTCAAACTGCTCTTGGACATCAGCCCAACCTTGAATCATCGCCGTAACAACGGAGACCTATGGAGAGGAACGTGGGAGGGACGAGAACTGACTCTGGTCTGGGGGAGGGGGCGGGGCAAGGACCAGTCCTAGATATTTCTGGCTCCTTCATTTCATGAACTGGAATGGGTGAGGGGAAACAGTTCTGGGGCCTTTAACATCCTCAGTCACCCAGGATGGTGCCACTTAGGAACTTGGCACAACCTCTCAGGACTAGGGGCTGCTTTCCGAAGAGTGTTTATCAAGACGTGACTCCTAGGCAGAGTGGGTGCTTATTAAATGCAGATTCCTGAGCCTGCCCAAGAGCTTTTGCATGAGACTCTCTGGAGCGAGGCCCTGTGAAGCTGAATTTCAAAGCCAGCAGTGGAGGTGACTCTGATGTGCCCTCACAGCCCTGGGAGGTCCCAGCCAATGAAAAGAAAGTCCCAGTCTTACGTCCCCTTTGTGGTTGGGCAACAAGCTCCCTCAGACAAGGAAAATCCCTGCATGAGCATTTATTTCTGCCCCCAGAGAGTTTCTTCTCTGAGCAGGTGGGGGAAGACGATGAGAGAGGGTCATTCCCTTGCCTTCCCTTTTGCCGAGCAGGAAGCCTGTTTATTGGACCAGGTCTCTCTCTTAGAGAGTCATTTGTAGATGACAACTCAGCATGGCACCTCAGCTGGGTAGTGTCACATCGTAAAAAGTACTCGCCTCTGTGGGTTTTCATCTCTAACGTTAGAGAATGGGGAACCCTGCTGCCCTCCTCCTGCTGGGGTAGGTAGTGGAACCGATATCTTACAGCTCAGGGTCGTTTTGGGAACACTTGTGTGCCTACCACTTATCTTTAAAAAAATATGTATTTTATTGATTATGTCATTACAGTTGTCCCATTCCCCCCTTTACTCCCCTCCACTCTGCATACCCCCTCCCACCCACATTCCCCCCCTTTAGTTCATGTCCATGTGTCATAGTTCTTTAGCTTCTACATTTCCCACACTACTCTTGCCCTTCCCCTATTTTCTCCCCACTGTCTATGCTACTTATTCTCTAAACCTTCTCTATCTCCCCTTCTCCCACTCTCCTGTGGCTAACCTTCCATGTGATTTCCATTTCTGTTGCTCCACTCCTGTTTTAGGTATCTGCTTAGTTTGCTTTTGTTTTAGGTGTGGTTGTTAATAACTGTGAGTTTGCTGTCCTTTCACTGTTCATCTTTTTTATCTTCTTTTTCTTAGATAAGTCCTTTTAACATTTCATATAATAAGGGCTTGGTGATGATGAACTCCTTGAACTTGGCCTTATCTGAGAAGCACTTTATCTGCCCTTCCATTCTAAATAAAAGCTTTGCTGGATAGAGCAATCTTGGATGTAGGTCCTTGCCTTTCATGACTTGGAATACCTCTTTCCAGCCCCTTCTTGCCTGTAAGGTCTCTTTTGAGAAATCCGCTGACAGTCTGATGGGAACTCCTTTGTAGGTGACTGTCCCCTTTTCTCTTGCTGCTTCTAGAATTTTCTCCTTCATTTTAATATTGGGTAATATAATTATGATGTGCCTTGGTGTGTTCCTTTATGGGTCCAACTTCTTTGGGACTCTCTGAGCTTCCTGGACTTCCTGGAAGTCTATTTCCTTTGCCAGATTGGGGAACTTCTCCTTTATTATTTGTTCAAATAAGTTTTCCACTCGTGGCTGTTCCTCTTCCCTTTCTGTTTCCCCTATAATTCGGATGTTGGAGCGTTTAAAGATGTCCTGGAGGTTCCTAAGCCTCTCCTCATTTTTTGAATTCTTGTTTCTTCATTCTTTTCTGTCTGGTTGTTTCTTTCTTCCTTCTGGTCCACTCCATTGATTTGAGTCTCAGTTTTCTTCCCATCACTATTGGTTTCCTGTGTATTTTCCTTCATTTCACTTAGTTTAGCCTTCATTTTTTTCATCTAATTTGCGACCAAATAGTGATCAGCAGCAGCAGTAGCAGCAGCAGCATCTGAGTAGTTGCAACAGGAGTTGCGTGGCCCTTGGAAGCACCGCTGATTGCCATTGGGCTCTTCTTAGAGAGGCTCCGATGCCAGTGCCCCTGGATCTCAAGATCCTTCACCAGCATTTCAATGCTTAGCCTTGAGGTGGCACACATCCCTCTACTCCAAGCTCAGTGGCCAGAATGACCCATGACCCTGCTCAAACATAGAGGGCCAGGGAGTGCACGCTCCTATGTGGCTGGGAGGGGCATCACCAGGATGTACGGTGTGAATGGCCAGCACAGCAACCTGGTACACGCGGGCTTGGCACTGGGTGCTGGATGCGGAAAGATAAGACCAGGCCCCTGATCTCAAGGATCTCAAGAGATGCTAGGATTTGGGGGCGAGGGGGAGGAAGACCAAGAATAGAACTGATTCAGGTGTCCTCCTCCGAATACCCAGGCTCTGTCTCGTCTGAATTACCTGAGGTGGAAGGCGTTCGTTCTCTCAGCTCGATGACGGCCAGAGCTGGACACTGTCCGGCTTGGCAGGCAGTGGGGGGCGACAGACTTCCCTGATGAACATTTATATCAATAATAGAAGGGTTGTTTAACAAGAATTCTTAGAGGAAAGATGAGATAATTTCATGTTTTGATATTCACAAAATTGATGCCGTTGAAACGGGAACTCTGCAGTGTATATAACTGCTGCTGTAATTTTGGCAAAGATGGAATGCAAATTGGCACAGCGTCTGGGAAGGGGGGCGTCCAGTAAGGAGAGGGAGGGTGGGGTGAGCCAGGAAGCAGAGGCAAGGGGCCGGGTCCCGGTGGCCTGGTGAGAGCTGGGAGGGTGTCCGGGAGCCTGCGTTGGGGAGGGACAAGAGGGAGGGGAGACTCCTTGAGTTTCTGGTAGAGCCGAAGCCGAGGAGGGAGTGGGCACAAGCCAGGGAGGGGCGCGTGCACGTGTGTGCTGGGGGAGAGACATTTAAACATCGTAGGAATGAGGGATAAATTTAAAATCCATCAAGCGCAGTTGAGACAGAATGACAACGTGAGGAGCGTGAATCACTCTTTTGAGGGCCCCGCCCCACTGTTTGTGTAATGTATGTTCTCCTTCATTTTTCCTCTCTGATGAGCTCACCCTGGACCCTGTACTCGCTCCCTTGACCTGGCCCTGGTGGCTGAGGACGGAGCGCTGACCAGCACGGCCCCGTAGAGAAGGAAGCCTCACCAAGGAAGGCAGGGTCAGGGGCTGGAGGACGGCCGTCTGGGAGGACCCCTGGCCTGGGGGTCCAGCTCAGGCCCTGTGCGGAGTGGGTGCTCCCTGAGCACTGCCTGAGCGATTTGGATACCAGGGCTTCGCTGGGCGTGTAGCGCACAGGGCGCTTCTCTGAGCCAGGGGGCACGGTCACTAGGGGCGTGGTTTGGTGGGGGTGTTGGGCTCCTGGCACTGGGGCGGGGGCAGTGAGCAGATGTGGTTCAAGGGTGGTGAGTTCAGGACTCTACAGCCAGGTGGACTGTCCCAGACCTCAGGCTTGCTATGCGAACTCTTTCTGGACCTTCCAGGTTCCCTCAGTCCCCTCTGCAGAAGCTCTTCCCCAGCCAGCTGAGGTGCTGTATTTGGCCACACTCCCCAGGTCCTGGACGTACGCATGTGCTTGAGAAAGGGGAAGGAACCCAGTGTTGGACCCTGTTCTCAAGAACAGCCCACCTGTGGCTGGTCTGGGGGAGAGGGCTGGAGGGGCTCTCTCTCCACCAGTGGGAGAGAACCGCCAGCCAGCCCTCCTGGAGGCGGGCCCGAGAGGGACAGTCTTCCGCTTCATTCTCCTCTCGGGAGAGCCGCACCCGAGACTTTCATCCCTGTTGCATATTTCTTTAACCGCTGTCTCCTGCACTGGGCTGTGAAGTGTGTGAGGGCAGAGATCCGGCTGTGTTCAGCTCGTGGTACCCAGCCTCTGGCACGGTACCCAGCCTGGCCCGCCGGCTCGCTCCTGAATTCAGCCGTCATTGATTTCCTCCTGCCTGCGCTGTCTGCAGCCTTGCTCTGGAGGACGATGTCATTAACCCTCCTCTCTTCTCTACTTCCCCGTGTCCACCCCTGCCTTCCCTTCCCCCCCCCCATCCTTTCCCTGCAACCCCTACCCCGCTGCAGAGCAATGTTCTGTGATGGTGCCCGAGATGCGTGGACTGAGCCCAGGCCGCAGGCTGCCCGAGCCCACCCCCTACCCAGCCGCCGGCGGGAGCCCTGAGCCGGGGTCTGTGGGCCACCACCACCACCACGTGCTGGCTCTGCCTGAGGAGGAGGCATGGCGGCCCCAGCAGTGCGCCCTGCTGGAGGCCGATGCCTCCGACGAGGCGGGCATGCTGCCGGCCTCCCCACGTGCCACCGCCTCCGGCTTCGACAACTTCTTCCCGGTGCAGGAGGGCGAGGGTGCCGGCTGGGAGTGCGGCTCCAGCCCCTTCCTCCCTGTGAGCCCCGAGGTGATGAAGCGGAGGCGCGGGGGCCTCATCGAGCAGCGGGACATCATCAAAGCCCACGAGGCGCACAAGATGCAGAGCACCCCGCAGGCCCGGCGGAAGGAGTGGGAGTGAGTACCGTGGGGGCGCAGGGGGCACAGGCACCGTGGAGCCCGGAGGGTGTGGTTTGGGGGTGAGAGGGAGCAGTGGGAGCAGCCCAGCAGGACAGCCAGGGAGGGGTGGAGGGCAGTGGGCAAGGCCAGGACTGAGGTCCAGGTGAGCGGGGCATTCCCGCCGAAGGGGCCCAATGAGACAGGTGCCCATGTCTCTAAAGAGGCGTTTGACCTCCAGGTGGGGTCCCTGCGGTCAGCCCCCATCCTGCCAACCAGCTGTAGACAGCACTGAATCTCACTGAAGTCATCTCCTATCAAATGGGATGAAGTAAGCTTGCTCCCCAAAACACACCCAGTTTACTAAGAGCCTGTGGAGAAAGAGCGGGGGCTGTTTCACACTGATTGCCCTGGAGGGGAGACCAAGTGAAACCTCGAAGAAGCCACCCAAATGCCAATCACCCATTTCACCGCCCCTCCCGGAACGGTGGCTCAGCCTCCTCTTTCTGATCTCATCCCTGGGTGAATGATTGCATTTTGGGCCAGATCTTCAGTGGGCAGAAAAGATTGACCAAGATCTGTGCTCCGCTGCCCCGTGACTTTATCTCCAATTTTTTGGTATAGAGTGGAAAGATCTGTGTTCTGCCTCTGCCCACCTTTAACCTAATTTGTGCTCGTTGAGAACTTGGGTTTTTATTCCTGGGTGTCATACGTTCAGGGAAGGTGGTATCTCATCTCATTTTCCGTCACCATATCTGTCCCCCACCGGGGGGCTTTGTTTTGTCCATTGGATGCCAGTGTTTCTTCTGCGTGTTTGCACGTCCTGTGGTCCGTACCTGTGTCTCCTCTTGCCACAGATTGTTGAGCTGTGAGATGCCATCAGGTGCAAAGAAACCAGCAATAGGTGTTTGGGATTGTGGCGGTCATGGCGGAATCTACCTACCCGGTGTCCATGGTTGTTCTGGATGGTGCCTGCAGGGCTAGGTCAGCTGGTCTCCGGTGGTCTTTTCCTGTGGAAGTTAATCTGAGTCTCCCTCCCTCCCTCCCTCCCTCCCTCCCTCCCTCCCTCCCTCCCTCCCTCCCTCCTTCCTTCCTTCCTTCCTTCTTTCCTTCCTTCCTTCCTGGAGCCCTGCTGTGCACTGAAACCTGGGGTTCAGACAGACCTCCTGTCCTGTCGTTCACTTCCCAGGGTGGTTTGTCTGTACAGCCTGGCTTGCTCTCAAAGTGCTGACAGCCATCTAAGCACCTTCACTGCACTAACTCATGTCAGCCTGCACCGTGACTGTGAGGTAGCGTGATGGGTACGCCCATTTAAACAACGAGGCGCGGAGAAGTTAAGGGGCTTTCGCGGGGCCCCTCCAGCGATGGCTGCATTGTTTCTGTGACTTGCCGTTGACTCATGATGCGAACCCTGGCCGTCTGATTCTAGAATCCATGCTTTCCACCACAGTGGCCGATGGCCTTTTGTGCCAGTTCACACAGCGCCTGACTTCTCGTCTCAACCACCTCCTGAGTTGTTGTGGCGGGAGCACTGGCTGGGGGCTCATTCCCAGGCGGCCCCAACCAGGGAGGCGTGACCTCATTGTGGCTTCGGAAATGGGTAGGAGGAGGTAGGTGGTCCTTGGAATGCCAGGCAGCTGTGCAGAAGTACTGTATTTGTGCACACCTATGTCTTGTCTTCCTCAGAGTCCTTGAGGGCAGAGGCTGTCTTGCGCATTCCTAATGTCACTCACTGTCTGTCATGTGTGCTAACTCAAGAATTCTGCAGTGCTCACGGGAAAACTAGCCTCACCGTGCCCCGCACTGTGTGTGCAGCTCTGACTTCAACTTTCACTCCTTGGGGGCTGCGTAGGTCCAATGGCCGCCCCCTACGTGGGGTGGGGATGGTTTGGAGACTGTGTTTTCACCTGGGCAGGTCCGTGGGGAGGTGGGACATATCAGCCCTCCTCAGTGTCACCGTGGGGAAGGAGCACCCAAAGAGGTTGAGGAGGAGCGGCGGGGGAGGTCAGAGGAAAGCCGGAGAGCCCAGGGACAAAGCCGTGTTCATCCCGGTCATCTGTGTGGGAAGTTGCTGAGAGATAAAACGAGATTGGCAAAGGGGTGTGGTTCTGGCAACAAGCAGGTGACTTTCCTGGGAACAGTGTCGGGGGGACGGAGCCAGGTCCCATTGCAGTGGGTTGAAAATAAAGTGTGAGATGATAGAGACAGTGATGTTGCCTCCAGTGGCCAGGTAGACACCTTCGGGGCTGGTGGCAGTGCCTTGCAGACTCCTCTGCCCATGGTGCTGCACGTGCCTGAATCTGCCAGCAGACGGGACCGTCACCGCCCCTTCCTGTGGCAGCCGTCTGGCCTCCCAGGCCGCTCCCTCGAGGAGGGTTTTGGCTCCTGGTTTGCTGCCTCTCTCTCCATCTCCTTTCTTGCCAACCCTTCTTGGATTTCCACATCCTCTTAGAGGGCTCTTCTTGTATCCCGGCCTCTTGGTTCCCTAACCCCTCCCCCCAGAGCCTTCACCTCCCAGCTTCTGGCGGAGACCTCGCTGCCTGGACCTGCCCACGTGGCCCTGGCACTGTGACCTCAGTTTGAACATCTCACTGTCTGACCTCCAGCTCTTCCGTCCAGCACCCTCTGCGCTGTTCCCTGGACTCTTCCATCTCACTGGCATCCACAAGACTTCGGTCCTGTCACTTTTTTACTGGCTCCTCCCTGCCCACATCTTCACTCCATCTTATCAAGTTCAATTCCATCCTAAGCACCCAAATTACTCCCTGGGGCAAAACGGTGACCTCTTCACCTGAGGTCACCTCCTGCCTCTCACCTCTTCTTTCTAAGACCCAGTGGTCATCAGCCAAGGGCAAGAATGTCCAGAGCCTCAGGGTGGTCTCTAGTCTCCCTGCTGCATCACCATCATTGTTACCGCTTCCTGTTTTCACCCTCAACTTTCTTGCTCCTTCCTGGCTCCCTTGTCCTGGGCTGGCAAGGCCCCAACGTGTTTAAACCCCACTCGCCACCTGTTCTTGGGCATCAAGTGTTGCTGGAGAAAACCTCACAGCCATGCCGAGTGGTCTTGCTCTAAGTCCATGACCCACGCCTGAGCCCTGCCCAGAAGTCCTGTTACTTCCCCCCTTTCCACTGGCCCTCACACTCTTTTAGAGATAATTTCACACCCCTCCCCTGAATCCCCAGTCCCCAGTGCCCCCTGCCACCCAGTTTCTATACCACGATCGCCTCCCTTAATGCGCCCCCAAATCTGCCCCAGCTGCACCGGCCCCAGGACATTCCGGAGGGTGCTGAGCCCACACCCCCGCAGGTGCTGGCTTCCCGGTCCCTCTCCCACCAGCTCTTTCCCTCCAGACCTGTGCGGCTCCTCCCTCCGTTTGGGACTCGCTCAGAGAGACACACCCCCTGCATTGTCACTGCCTTTCTTTATTTTGCTTTATTTTTCATCCCTGCCCTTACTCTCATTTTCCCAACACACAGACATGCACATAAACATGTACAAACACACAGAAACATACACATGTATGTTGTGTGTGTGTGTGTGTGTGCATCGTTCTGTCTCCCAGGACTGAAGTGGAAGCTTCTGGAAAGCAGGGACTTGGTGTACAGAACAATGCCCCGTATGTAGTGGGCACACAATAAATATTTGTTTTATAGCTGAGGAAATAAACGCACTGCAGGGACTCCATTCCTCTTCCAGCCAGCTGGCTTCCTGGGAAGGAGGCAGCCCAGTTTCCTGGGCCAGCCGAGTGGTCGTGCAGGTCCCGGTGAACAGTCAGCCGAGGACGTGGGCGTCTGTTCTCTGCCTGCCGCACACCTTGGAGGCAGGGGGCCTCTCCTCTCTCTGTCCCCTGCTGTCTGGCTTCTCTGACTTCCATGCTGCAGGCAGGATCCTCTGCACCAGGGCAGGGCATCCTGGCCCGTCCTCAGACTCGGATTTGCCACAGCAGGAAATCAGGGGGGTTCTCTGTCCTGTCCCTGCCTGCTTCCTGCCCCGCCCCGGGCCCGCCCACCGCCCACGTAGCTGGCAGCCTGCACAGCCGCCCCTGTAGGGGTCCTGCCTCCCTCTGGCTCTGACTCAAGACTCTGGGGATGCACGAAGCCGACTGGAAGCCAACATGGGAGGTTTCCAGCAGCTTTTGCCTTGGGCTGGGTGAGCCAAATGCTGCCAGTGGAAGGAAGTGAGGGGGGAGGAGGAGACCGCAAGGGACGGGTGTTTTCCGGTGGACAGACAGACCGTAGGTCACGGACACGAAGCAGAGTCTCTTGTGCAGCATGTTGTTTCCCAAAGAACCTGTTGGAAGGTTTCCTCGAGCCCAGGTGGGGGTTGTGGACCCCTCAGGTGACACTGCGCGTTCCTCGTGTGTCCAGTTTTGTAGTTTCAGTGAGTGGGCATGGGGCCGTGTTTTACTGGTGCTTCATATAATTCCGTGCTGCCTCTTACCTGACCTCTACAATGACCCTACGAACTAGCTATTGTTATTCCTGAATTTACAGAAGAGACAAACAGGCCTCAGAGTTAGGGGTGGTGCTGGGTGCAGAAGCCCACGCCGTCGCAGTGACCGCCACCACTTAGGGGGCACTGGCTGCGTGCCGCACACTCTAATGGGAGTCACTGGGTCGGCCAAAGAGTCCGTCACGTTTTTTCCGTGCGATGGCTCTGGCAGCACTTAGTTGTCTTTAACTCGACTCGAAACAATTTTGTCAGATCGCATTGTGCCAGCCATTGGTCAACATGCCATTAAAGAACCTGTCAGAATTGGTGGATTTTTGTGCAGCCATTTTCATATTGAAGATGGAAGGAGATATGCAACATTTTTGGCATATTATGCTTTATTATTCTAAGAAAGGTAAAAACAACTGGAATGCAAAAAAACAAAGATTCATGCCCTGTGTGGAGAAGGTGCTGTGACTGATCGCCCGTGCAAAGAGTAATTCGTGAAGTTTCTTGCTGCTGTTGACATTTTGGCCAAATAACTCTCTGCTGTGGGGCTGTCTTAGGCATTGGAAGATGTTTAGCAGCA